TTTCGGCACCAAGCCTGGAAGGGAGGCAGCCTGACTTGCAGAGCCCCAAATAGCCCAGGTTGCCAGTTCCAGCTGCCCCTGCCCTTCAGGGTCTGCTTCCCAGGTCCTTGTGGCCATTCCCCGCTGGATCCCCTTTCAAAAGGGCTGGGAAAGCAGCTCATTGGCTGCGCCCGCCCGTGGAGTGGCTTTGGCCAATGGGGCTGAGAAGGCAGGCCTTGGGCGCCAGGCTGGGGGTTAGGGAAGCCATCCTCTGGAGATTGGACGTAGAGTTCAGGAAGACTTACCCCCTCATGAATTGCGTGGCCTGCGCTGCGATCTTAAAGCGCCTGCAGGAAGCACTTGACTTTGCTCTGTGAGCTCGAGGAGTGCTTGTCACACCCTCAGCGCTGGCCCCAGAACACCAGTCAGGGTGGGGAGCGGGGGGACAGCAGAAACCCCTGGCACGGGGGCTGTTCCCCAGGGTGCCCTGCTTCTCCTTCTCTGTCAGGAAACAGGAACCCAGGATGGTGGGAAAGAGCTAGGGAGTCCAGGGGCCCATGCCCCAGGTCCGGATATGCCTCGATTTTTAGGATCCGGCTCCCTGCCACCACTCTTTCCTTGGTGCCCCTGAAAACTTCCAGATCTCATGAAGCTGATGGGCTGGGGATTCCCAAGCTACTGTGGTATCTCTGTCCCTCTGCTTAGAGCTGAGATTTCCGCTCATTCAGTCAGTCCATTTTTATTGAGTGTTTTCAATGGGGCAGCACTGTTTGGTGCTGGGGATTCAGCTGTGAGACAAGGAAGGGCCCTGTCCTCATGGAGCTTCTACTCTAGAGAGAGGAAACTGAGTAGAGAATGTGGTCATTCAGTGGGATAGTGCCAGGTAAAGGTCAGGACTGTGAAGAGACCATGGCAGATGGGGCCGCCTGAGCTCCAGTGTCCAGTGAGGGGGAGGTGAGGAGGGCAGTCTAGCCCCAGGTACCCCAGCACCAGGAGTGAAGCCCCAGCAGGTGTCAGATGGTAGCTTGTTGGGGGTGAGACACAGAGACCTCCATGTGTTTTAGTTATCCACTACTGCGTAACAAATGACCCCAGTAACAGAGTGACTAAAGCAGCAAACATCTCACTCTCTGAGGGCCAGGAGCCTGGGAGTGGCTTAGCTGGGTGATTCCGCCTCAGGGTTCTCAGGAGGTCCCGCCGTTCCCAGTGGCTCACTCACGTGAAATGGCTGTTGGCTAGAGGCCTCAGTTCTTCACTGTGGGGCCTCCACAGGGCTGCTCGAGTGTTCTTACGACATGGCAGGTGGCTTCCCCCAGAACACGTGATCCAAGAGAGGGAGCATGGGGAGACCAAGCTGGAAGCCACAGTGCCTTTTTGTGACCTGGTTTTCATGGTCGCACAGCATCTCTTCTGCTTTATCCTAGGTCTTAGAATCAAGTCATGGAGTCCAGCCACATTCCAAGGGAGGGAAATTAGGCCCCATCTTTGGAAGGAAAGAGGGTCAAAGAATTGGGGGCATATTTTTAAGACCCCCAAACTGGGTGGTGCTGCCTCAGCTGGAACCTGCCTCTGATTGGGGTCACACCGTTTCTTCATTACATTCGGTTTACACTCGGGATGGAGTTACAGTGAACTAGACCAAGTGTCCAGACCTTCAGTGTACTTTCAGTACTTTTATACAAGTATCCTGCTGTGCCATCCCACTCCGATCAGTAGGTAAACATTGTCATCACCCCAGAAGGTTCCTTTGAGGCCCTTTCCAATCAAAACCCTTTAAAGCTCGTTACTCTTCTATCTGTTCATTTCATCTCTTGAACTTCATATGAACAGAGGCATACAATGTGTTGGTGCCTTTACTTAATATCTGCGATCCGTCCATATTACTGGGGGTGTCAACAGTTTGTTCTTTTTCTGGCTGTGTAATATTCTGTGGTGTGGATATACCACAGTTTGTGTCCCCATTCCCTTGTTGATGGGCCTTTGGGTTTTTCATGTGGGACTGTTGGGAATAAAGCTGCTTTGAGTATTTATGTACATGTCTTTGATGGGCATGTGCTCTCCCTTCTCTCAGGGACATACCTACATAGGCCTCCAAATGCCTGTCTGTGCCTGAGGTGATCCTCTCTCAGAGACTGATGCACAGTAACCAAACTCACAAGATACTGATGTATAGGTCAGAAGGTTGATGTGCATGCAGTTCAAGGTGGGGAATTACAGTAGGAAGTCTGGAAACTCATGTGCCTGGACAGAGCCTCCTTTCCCCATGGAAAAGCCATGTGGAAGCCAAATTGTTGTGTTTTTTTTAAAGGGAAAGCTGATTTAAAAAATATATATATCTTCATTGATTTCAGAGAGAGGAAGAAAGAGAGAGAGATAGGAGCATCCATGATGAGAGAGTCATCAATCGACTGCTTCCTGCACGCCCCCCACCCAGGATCGAGCCCACAACCCAGGCACGTGCCCTGACCTGGAATCGAACTGCGATCTCCTAGATCATAGGTCAATGTTCAACTGCTGAGCCACACTGGCTGGGCCCAAATTGTAGTCTTAAATTTACTCAGCAGCATGTGTTCTCAGCTGGGGAGCTGGTTGAATGATTATGGAAGCTGATCCCACTGCCCTGGGCATGCTGGGCAAGCTTCCCTGCCAGGGGTGGATGTACCCACCAAGGATCCCCTTCCCTGGGCGCTTGCTCAGTATTTTGGTCTATATGCAGTGTGGTATGCCTGCTCTGGGCCCTGCAGGATGCCCCAGCCCCATGGCCCAGTGGACAGGTGGCCAAATTCTTCCTCACTCTGAGCATTCCTTTTCTCCACCTTCAAGCAGACTGCCCGCTTCCGTGGGCCCATTCTCCCTCTTGGTAAATAAATAGCATCAGGCTGGGTCTTCCTGAGTAGGAGACATTGTCTTTTGGGGAGACCTCAGCAGCATCTGATTACATTGGTCAGGGTTAATTTCTCTAATCCTCTCATTATTCCCTCAGGTAGTGCCCTTTCATCAGATAGTTGTAGAAACAGTTGTGCTATAAAAGCACTTGGGTGTGAAGGGACTTAAGGTCAGGCACTGGGGACATGTGGGGACTGTTTCACCACGGGAGGGGCCACAGATCCTCCTGACCTGCAGTAGGGACAGAGCTGTGTGCTAAAAGAGAATAAATGGGCACTGGTGACATCAGACATGGGCAAACCCCAGTACCCTGCTCCCATGCTTCTGAGCCTCAGTTTTCTCATCTGTGAAATAGGACCAACAACACCTGGTTTGTAGGTTTCATAGGTTGCACTGGGATCACATCAAAACCATTTTGTACATGGTGGCCCACACAGTGTACAGAGGGTCCCAGCAGCCCCTCTTGGGCCTGTCTTCTTTCTCTGCTGTGTTTTGGCCATGGAAACACTGAGTTTGAGTAAACTTGTCTCTCCCACGGTGTCAGATGCTGAGCTTGACCTGCATGTCCTGAGTCATATTTCCTCTCTGTGGTGGCTCAAGATAGGACTTATATTCCAGCCTCAGTATGCACCGGGTGGGGG